AGTTAATAATACACTGCTCGGGACATGGCAGTATACCTGGACTGGCTTGAAGATTTTGTTTTGGTCTAGCATCCTTGAAGCAACCAGAGCTACCAGCCTGAGAACAGACTGTCATATGTCTCTAGAGTCTTAAAAATGGGTCATGGTGTTAATGAGTAAAAATGGTTATAAAGGATAACTCTGTTTATTAGCAATGATTAAACTTGAGGGAAAATGATTGGAAAAGATAACTCTGTTCTGTCATGGTTTATCAATGTTGACTACAGAATATGCAAGAGGAAATAGGACACAGGTCCAAAACCAAAACGATATGATCTATGTTTTGGAACAACAGTAACCTATTCCTGCTTTCTGAATTCTGTATAAATAAAGAAACACTGGCTGCTAGTCAGTTGGCTGCATGATTCCCCCACCATCATGCCTGGCTCATGCTTCCCTTGCAGGATCCTTACCTCCTCTCTGGGCTTGTCTACCACCGGGGATGGCTCCCAGTAGTGGGCTACCCACCACACTGGGTTAACGTTTATGGAGAGCTAATAATTCTTTCCCAGTTTTCGTTTCTCCTCTCTCTTCAGTGCCAGAGATGGAGCCCAGGGCCTCCTGCATGCCAGGCGAGTCCTGTGCCACCAAGGGGCAGCTCCAGCACTCGGAGCCTTTTGAATAGACTTCTTTCCCTTCATAAAATCTATTTGTCTTTTTATGGCTTAATAGGTCATTTTTTTTTTGTGCCAAACAGTATTCCATTGTCTAGATGCACCGCAGTTTATCTGTTCACCTAGAAGGACATCTTGGTGGCTTCTAAATTTTAGCAATTAGGAATAAAACTTATGTAAGCATTATATTTAGGTTTTGGGGTGGTAAATATCAATAAACACTAAATTATAAAGTAAGACTATGTTTTGGGAAGAAACTCTTCCAGTGGGCTGCAGACTTGGCATTTCCGCAGCAGTGAAGAAGAGGTCTGTGGTGACTGGTGTCCTGGGTTTGGCCATCCCGATAGCTGTGCTGGCTTTGTGATTGGACAGGGTCTGGCTGTGTCCTTTGTAGCCCAGACTGGGGTGGAACCATTGATCCCCTCGCCTCAGCCTCCCCGTCCTGGGATTGTAGATATATACTACCATGACAGCTGTGGAAGTCAGTTCTCTTTCCTTCACGCTGTTGACAAGGACCCTCTCTAAGGTGGCTGCTGCTGCCTTGGCCATGTGTCTGCTGCTCTTTTGTGTTTCCTTACTGTCCGATAAAATGGGAGGTTTCAAACACAGCTTGTGTATTCCTCACTAAGACCTGTAACAGCCAATTTTTTGTTTTGTTTTGGTTTTTGTTTGAGAGAGGGTCTTACTGTGTAGCCCTGGCTGGCCTGTAACCTTCACAGATCTCCCTGCGCCCGCTTCTGGAGTGCGGGGTTAAAGGTGAATACCTTTATCCTTCTGTCAGTCACTTTTTTTTCCCCAAGAAACTCTGATTCCTTTAAGTGGAGAATGATATTTTTAGAAATCATAATCTTGGTGCTAATGATCCTCACAGCTACTGGGTGATCATATGTTATAGACCCTTTGAAAGGATAGAGTTAAAAAATATCAACTAACTTATGGACAAAGGAAATGTCGTATATTTTATTGATGCTTTCCACTCAGAAAAGTTGTTGCTTTTATTTACCTTCTGTTTTTGTAGTTGTGTCTCATTTCATCACCAACCCTTGGAGAATCCTCATTCTCAGCCACACTGGGTATGACAGTGGATTCCAGTCACTCATGTCACAGCACACAGTGCCCTCCAGAGACTCAACCTCAGCACTGCAGCCAATAGTGTGGTGACTAAAGCCAGCTCAGGAGGCTGCACGCAGTGGTGTAGGCTAATCCCGCTCTCAGGGTGGCTGAAGCAAGACAGCCACTGGGAGGCCAGCCTGGGCTACAGAGAGAGAGAACGGTTTATGATATTCGCAGTCATCATTTGTCTGTTTGCTGTTCCGAGTGTGTATATTGCTTGGGGTGACTAGACATTTGTCCTGGTTTCTCTTTGTCTTACATTTCACCAGGGACTGATCTGGAGCGGAGCCCCAGCCTCAGCCCTGATCCCAGCTCCTGCACTGTGTACCTGGAATAGTTCTTCTGAGATGGTCACACCACAGTACTGTGTACTTAGTTTTTCTGAGATGGTCACACCACAGTACTGTGTACTTAGTTTTTCTGAGATGGTCACACCACAGTACTGTGTACTTAAATAGTTCTGAGATGATCACACCACAGCACTGTGTACTTAGTTCTTCTGAGATGGTCACACCACTGCACTGTGTACTTAGTTCTTCTGAGATGGTCACACCACAGTACTGTGTACTTAGTTCTTCTGAGATGGTCACACCACCAATGTCACATCTGTTTCTGTTTTGTTTTTTATTTTGAGAATTCCTTTTTCAAAAAGATTTACTTCTCTTCATGTGTGTCTGTGTGAGTATCTGCCACGTGTGTGCAGGTTCCTGTGGCTGTGGCTAGGAGAGGATGCTGGGCACCCCAGAGCCGGACTTACCAGTGATTTTAGGCCGTCTAAGGTGGATGCTGGGAGCTGAACTTGGGTCTATAGAAGAGCTGTGTGCGCCTGGCCACTGAGTGGGCCTTCTCTCCATCCCTGAGACTCTCTTTCTTAAATCTGAATTTATATAAAACATTCATAAGATATTCAAGGAAGGCTGCCTTCTGTCTTTCTTGCTTTTTTCTTTTTCTCCTTTGTAAGTAGATGTTTAAAAAGAGGATTTGAAGCTAGGCGGCAGTGGCACATGCCTTTAATCCCAGCAGAACCAGGCGGATCTCTGTGAGTTTGAGGCCAGCCTGGTCTACAGAGTGAGATCTAGGACAGGCACCAAAACTACACAAGAGAAACCCTGTCTCAGAAAACAAAACAAAACAGAGAATTTGACAGCCTCACACAGACATACATGTAGGCAAAATACCAATGTGCATAAAATTAAAAACAAATCATTTAAAAAATCAATCTTGCCGGGTGGTGGCGGCGCACGCCTTTAATCCCAGCACTTGGGAGGCAGAGGCAGGCGGATCTCTGTGAGTTCGAGGCCAGCCTGGGCTACCAAGTGAGTTCCAGGAAAGGCGCAAAGATACATGAGAAACCCTGTCTCGAAAAACAACAAAAAAAAAAAAAAAAAAAAAAACCAACAACAAAAAAAAATCAATCTTTTGTAATTATTCTTTCTTTTTAAGATTTTTTATTTTTTCACTTGTGTCTGGGTGTTGCCCACGTCTGTGTCTGTGCACTGTGTGCGAGGCCGGAAGAGGGCGCTGGAGTCCTCGGAACTGGAGTTTGTAGACAGTTGTAAGCTGTCAGGTGGGTGCTGGGAATTGAACCTGGAGGGGCGGCCAGCTCTCCAGACCCGTTTCTCTAAAGTGTAACCAGGCATTTATGTTCCAGCTGCCCTTTCTTTGTTAAAATGTAGCAAATCACAGTTTTTTTCCACTTTGCCTTTAAAACTTAGTATTCTATCTTGGAGATTTTTTTCATGGTAGTAATAATATGTATTTTTAAATATCTATGAAAGTAAATTATCAAATTAATCACTCTAAGTGACCTTTGACATTCTATTTCTCTAAGAATTTATTTAAGTTAACCTCATTAAAAATACCCTGTCATTGGGGAACTAGGTTGTCTGTCCTCAGCGTTGTGTTGGGGTACAGATGAGGATGGTAAGGTGGGGACTTTGGAGAGTGAGTTGGAGATCTGAGCAGAGCGTGGCGGGGGGGGGGGGGACACACAAAGCCTGACGGTATGCACAGGCCCACGTGGAGGCGAGAGTGCTGTGTCCCTGTGGTAAAGTAGCCTGGCCAGAGCCCCACACCGGGAAGGTAAGTGGCAGAGTATCAGTTAAGTGTGTTTGTCTTCGTAAGGCGATGCCTTGTGAGGAAGGAGGAATGGTGATCACAGCATTCTTTTAAGAAAGTCTTTCTGGCAGCTGGAGCGGTGGCTCAGGGGTTCAGAGCACTGGCTGCTCTTCCACAGGACCTGGGTTCAATTCCCAGCACCCACATGGCAGCTCACAACTGTCTCTAACTCCAGTTCCAGGAGATCTGACACCCTCATACAGACACACATGCAGGAAAAACACCAGTACACATAAACTAACTAAATAAAATCTTTTTAAAAAAAGACTTACTGAGCACTCACTATGTGAGCGTTCATGTGAGTGTTCATGTGAGCACTTTTATGTGAGCATTCCTGTGAGCACTTACTATGTTCGCATTTCTGTGCTGTGTGGGGAGAGGGGGCTGGATTCTTTTTAAAAGATTTCTTTTCTTTTTGAGACAGAGTCTCACTGTGCGGCATTGGCTGACCTGGAACTTGCTCTGTAGACCAGGTTGGTCTTCGCTCCTGAGTGCTGAGATCAGGCATGCAATATCACACCCGGCTTGTTTTGTTTTGAATTAGGTCTGTGTGTGTATGTGTGCATGCGTGCAGTTGCCATGGAGGCCAGAAGAGGGTGTCGGTCTCCTGGAGGTGGAGTTAAAGACTGGAAACCTGAGAGCATACACACTCTTAACGGCTCCCTGGTCCATCTCTCCAGCCCCTGTGTGGATGTTTCATTACTAAGCAGAATTGCAGCATGCCATTGGGACATAAAAACTGGGGGCGCTAGGTTAGTTTGGAAGTGAGGGGCCGTCGCCATTCAAGGCAAGTGCCTGCTGGTGTTGGCTCTGCAGAGTGTAGCTGGGTCACTGGAGAGGATGGAGCTGCTCAGTCCTAACTCCCTTCTACCTCAGCTGTGACCTTGGGGCATAGTTCTTTAATGTGCCTCAGGTCTGGGCTACTCACAGAATGGGAAAGAGAATGGCTGCCATATTTGCATCTCCTGGTTACCGTGAGGTTCCAACTTAAAATATATGTAAACCACTGTGCTTCCTCCTCCAGGTATCTCAAAGGAGCCTTGGTTTGAAGTATTTGAATGAATGAATGAATGTTGGTGTATTTCTGTAACTATTTGAATATCTGTTTTCAAACAGAGACCAGATGAGGAAGCTGTGGTGGATCAGGGTGGGACCAGCACAATTCTCAACATTCACTATGAGAAAGAAGAGTTGGAAGGTAAGAACCTGCCTCTCAGTCCTTGTCTTGAAATAAGAGCAGAGATAACAGTACCCACATGTGTGACAGGCTTATCACGGGGCCCGTAGGCAGCATAAGACCCAATGCTCAACATAAATGTTAACAATAGCAAATAACCCTTCCTTTGAGAATGTGAAGGGCTCATCTAGTTCACTGAGTCTTCATAACTGCACGAAAAGATAAGTATCTACACAAACTTAAAAGAAAATAGAATATCATCAGTTTAAAAGTTCAGTTTGGCTGTAAAACCTTTTTTTAAAACCACATTTCCATTATTGGCTCTTCGTTTTCTAACTGTGCCCATTTGTACCAGATTTGAAAAAAAAAAAATGTAAACAAGAAAAGGGAATGCAGAAACAGACCAGCAAAGACTCGGAGCTCTCCGCACAAAGTTATGGGAAAACCCCAGTGAGATGGAGGCAGGAGGAGCCATTCTTGACCCTGGCTGTGCCCCGGCTTCTCCTTCCACCTGCCCAACCATGGCTCCTCATGAGTGGCGACCTTCCTTTATCCTGGAGGAAGGCTCCCGTCTGAGGAGCCATGTCTGCTCCGTGTGAGATGGCTGCCGCTCCCCTGCACACTGAAGGATCACCGGCTTCCGGCTGCTCAGATGCCTGTGATGTTTCTCTGTACTGCCTGTTCCCGTCATGGATTTTATTAACCTTGTGCCGCCACAGAGAAAACTCGGCCTTTGGATGGGAAGTGGAGGAAAGCTGGGGAGGCTCCGGCTCTGGCTCCGGCTCCGGCTCCGGCACTGTGAAAACCTGTGTGTGGGTGGCTCTGCAGAGTCAGTGGTGTTTGGATAGATCAAGGTCAAGTTCTTGAAGTTATTTTGGCCAGATGGATGAAGGGACAGGGAGAATGTGGGAGCAGGAAGTGTGTGCTGTTGAGTTAGGTATTTTATACCTTTCGACTGTAGTCTGTTAATCCCAGTGGGCAAAAGTAAGACCACTACCACAATTTCTTTTTTTTTTCCGGTTTTTTTTGAGACAGGGTTTCTCTGTGTAGCTTTACGCCTTTCCTGGAACTCACTTGGTAGCCCAGGCTGGCCTCGAACTCACAGAGATTCACCTGCCTCTGCCTCCCAAGTGCTGGGATTAAAGGCGTGTGCCACCACCGCCCGGCCACTACCACAATTTCTGAGATAAAATTGAAGCAAGCTTTATTAAATTCTGGCTAGGATGATGGACACTGGCCAGGCCCGTACCCGGGATTCCCAGAATATGGTGACAAATTACACTAGCCCGGGGCTTATGAAGGCAAACCCCACAAGACATGTACTTCCTGCCTTCGTCCAATCAGGGGCAAGCGTACATCCTGACATACTTCCTGCCTACGTACCTCCCATCTACTTGTGATCAAGCACATCCTGTGCAGTTGGGGCAGCCAACCTCGTTCACAGACGTGAGAACAGGTGCCTTGTTGTTTGACATGAACAACAGCCCTGGCATCCCAGGAAGTTACCTGTCCTTGGCCAAGTGGGGCTCACAGGTTAGAAGCAATTTTGTTTTATAAATCCCTTAACCTCAGTAATTTAAACTTAAAACATAATTTAGTCCTCACAGTACCCCAGACACATGTTGGTGCCATTACCCTCTGTAGTTGTGGAAACTGACTGGATGGTAGGGAGACTGGGGTGGGATCCCTCTTTTCCCCCTCTGGACTACAAGGCAGTAGGTATAGCCTTGCCCTCCAGGCCTTGGCACCCTGCTTCACTGTGCAGACATTTCTTCCTGCTGTCCTAACACCTTGAAATGCATCGCTGGCAGGTCCATTGTCCTCTAGCATTTACCTGTGGACCTTAGTCCTCCACCGGGAAGTGAACGTATATAAAAATTTTTGTGTGCTTGGGAATAGAATAAAGAATCTGGGCCAGCTCTCTTGGATTCTGAGGGCCAGGTCTCATCTGTTGAGGTCAGCTGAGGAACTGTTGGAAGCGACATCTCCAGATGATGTCATCTCTGGTGTGTGCTCGGCTCTGCTAGAAAAGCAACCTAACGGGACGACAGTTGTTGGAGGACACCGTGCTGGGAAATGGTTTTTATGACAAGATGTTTTTGGAAACTGGACTTTCTTCTGTTAGCACTTTAAAAATGTACTACCGAATGGTCCTCCCATGCCCAGACCTGAAATGTCTCCAGAGCAAAGCCTGAGGAGAGGAGAGCGAGTGGGTTTGCTGCCGTGGGTTTGGGCATGCATGGGTTCCGCCAGACTCACGCACTCCGGGTGTAGTTACAGGACTTGATGAAGCTGCGTGCCGGGTGGTGGTGTCGCCTAAAGGCACACAGAGAGAAAACAGCCCTGCTTTAATGGACCATCCATAAATTGTTTTCTGATTCAGTAATGTGCACGCCATCCCTCAGGATTCTGTAGCTGCTGAGAAATCCCCAGTCTTCCTTCTTCTTTTTTTTTTTTTTTGAGATAGCGTCTCACTATTGTCTAGACTAATCTCACACTATGTTCCCGGATTGACTTCCAAGTTTTAGTCAACTGTTTTTATCTTTTCATGTGCTAAGATCCTAGGTGTGAGATACCACACCCACAGTGAGCTTGACTTCTGAAGGTAGAGGGTTTTAAATTTGTTTGGGGGCATGTTAATCAGTGTAGGTCAGTGGTTCTCAACCTGTGGGTCATGACCCCTCTTGGGGTCAAACAACCCTTTCACAGGGGTCACCTAAGACCATCAGAAAACACAGATATTTATATACAATTCATAACAGTAACAGAATTACAGTTATGAAGTAGCAATGGAAACAATGTTATGGTTGGGGGTCACCACAGCATGAGGAGCTGTATTCAAGGGTCGCAGCATTAGGAAGGGTGGGGACCACTGCTGTAGATAAAGATTTGAAGCTGTATGGTAGCATACACCTATAATCCCAGACTGAGGCAGGAGAATTGTGTGAAGCCAGCCTGGTAGGCCAAGCTGGGATGCACATAAAGACTCAAAACAAGGGGTCTGGGGAGTCCTGTGTGGAAGTGGACTTGAAATCCAAAGAGTGGGTACCACTACAGAGGAGAGAGGGAGGGTCAGGAGTGGACCCTTCCTCTGGTGGGGGATGAGGCATCCGAAGGAGTCAGGTAGCAGTGCGTGAGAGCTGAAGGAGCCCAGAACATCAAGGTGGACGGGCGTCTGGAGACCCAGGTACATGCCGGGCTCTCCACAGAGTCTGTGGAGCTGGAGATGTCTGTGACAGAGCTTGGTGGAGGAGGAAGGAGAGGGGGAAACGGGGGGGGGGGAGCCGTCAGTGGGGGTCTTCCACGATGAGCCATGGAAGGACGGCATGGAGAGGAGAGTGAGAGGCCCATCCCATCCCGGGGAGGGCAGCGGAGAGGGAGGTACGGGATGGAGAGTGCCCGAGCCTGGCAGAGAGGAGCCAGACTGTGACAGAGGAGTTGCCGTGAAAGAACCTTCATCTTCTCAGGAGGGTGAGGAGGAAGGGGTCAAAGGGCAGGGATAGGCATAGGTAGGATCCAAAGACACTGGCTAAAGATGCCGAGAACCGTGGGGACAGTGTGGGCGCAGCCAAGGTGTGGGCACAGAGCAGCAGGAGCCAGGTAGAAATGGGCACAGCAAGGCTGTGAGTGTCAGGTTGGGAACAGCCCTGGAGCTTCTGATCCTGGGCTCCAGGCTTGGCAGGAAGTCAGGTAAGGATGAATCACAGGGGGTGCAGGGGAGGAGTTGGGAGCAGGGGAGGGGTGAGAAGGGTTGCTGTCGGGTCACTTATTTCTGCTCTCCACTCTTTGTGTACCGACCTTAACTCTCAAACCCAGCCTCAGGCCTGATTTAAAAGCAGTAGTCTGGCTGTGCAGTCCACAGTGCAGAAGCTGGTCTGCAGTTCCCGGCATGGCCTCGAGCATTGCCCGTGCGTTATCTTATTGTTGCTCTTGATAACCCCACGAGTTAAAAAAATAAGCGTCCGTGTTCCTTTTAAAGGTTTAATCAAGAGAGACTGGTTGGCTTGCTCATGCTCAGACTCTTAGCTAGTGCCGAAATGGAGCTTTACGCCCAGGCGGCCTTACTGCGTCCTTGACTATGCTAACGACCTCTCTGCCAAGACCTGCCACAGTCACCATACAGGGATCGTCTCTGTAAAATCATCCACATTGCTCTTGTAATAGCAAAAAGTAACAAGCATATTCGTAGTTTGTAAGTCATATCCTCCCTCCCTCTCCCCCCCTCCTTCCTCCACCCTCGGAACAGAGCCATGTACACGCCAAGGCTGCGTTCCCATGCTCTGCTCTGTGACCTGCTGTGCCCTCCACATGCTCCTCAGGCTCCTACTCACAGCTAGTGCACATAATGGAGCACAGTTCGTTCATTTGGTTGTCACAACATCCATGTGAGGTTATAGCTGTGTGCAGGACAGAGGAAGACGCTGTCAACTCTGTGATGACTGTCTTCAGCCCCGGGGTCTGTGGAGTTTAACCATTCCCGAAGTGCTGTACAGAAGTCGGTGATGTTTTGCTCTTCATCATGCTGGACTCCATAGGTCTTCTGTTTCCATTCAGGTCATAGAACTCTGTATGTGGGGGTTCGGATGCCACTGGGCAGGCAGGGCCACCGGCACCACCGCACTCATGGCCAGAAGCACCGGAGACGAGGAGGCCGGGGCAAAGGAGCCAGCCAGGGAGAGGAGGGGCTGGAAGCCTTGGCCCACGGTAACACCCTGGGGAGACGGGGGGCGGTGTGTGTGTAACATTCTGGGGGGAAACAGGGTAACACCCTGAGGAAAAGGGGGGTAACACCCTGGGGAGAGGAGGCGTAATGACTGGGGAGAGAGGACCAGTGTCCGTGACAGGGTGGTGTGGAGATTCATGGGAATGCAGGAGGCATAGGCAGGTGGTCTTGATTCTCCAGCCCTTGGCTAGGGTTCCCAAGAGCAAAGAATGCTTCTAAGAACTGAAATGTCTTCCTGAAATTGACATTTCCACACTGCAATCAGCACTATAAGTAATCCTTTGCTATTTAAAATTTGTCAGGTTTCTAGAAAACTAAAAAATCTATTTTTATGTGTTTGGGTATTTTGCCTGCATGTATGTTTGTGTGCCACATGCATGCCTGGTGCCCTTGAAGGCCAGAAGAGGGCGTCAGATCCCCAGGACAGGAGTTAGATAGTTGTGAGCTGCCATGTGGGTGCTGGGAACTGAACCCGGGTCCTCTGGAAGAGCAGCCAGTGCTCTCAACCGCTGAGCCGTCTCTCCAGTCCTGATTTCTAGTTCTCATGGGACTCCTGCGAGTGGTCTTAGTTGATAACTTTGCTCTCTTGTTTAAATGCTTCCACAGAAGAGCCTTCTCTCTAAGAACAAAGGGGCTTTTAAATCTGTATTCAGGACATCTTCTATATATTTCCAGAGCGGTTAGGCAGAGTGCTATTTCTGTTCTGACTGGGAGGATAGATACACATCCAGACCTTTCTCTGGTTGGCTTTCTAGACACCCCATCTCAGCGTGTTCAGTTCATTCTTGGCACCGAGGAGGATGAAGAGCACGTGCCTCATGAGCTGTTCACAGAGCTGGACGAGATATGTATGAGAGAGGGGGAGGATGCCGAGTGGAAGGAGACAGCCAGGTGAGGCCTGCAGTGACCGGCAGGAGCTTAGGGGACAGGCAGGTGCACACCTCTCCACAAGTGACCGGCCTTTGTCTCTTCATGGGTGAAGTGGCATCGAGGAAGCCTGGCGCCAGCGCACGTTGGTGTGGCGTTGATGCCTGTGCTACGGTGGACATTTTCCGTGGACGCGAGAATTACACAGGCCCGCTGGCCTGATGCCAAGTGAAAGGCAGTCTTTATGATTCTGTCTTTGTGGATTTCTGAAGTCATAAAGAGCACTGATAAAAATGTTATTGTTTTATTAATGTGGTTCGTCAATGTGTCCAGATGATATAGATTAGATTTTTATTTAAAAGTCATGCTTATTATAGACAATTAGAAAATAAAGATAAGCAAAAGGAAGACCATGACAGTTACCTTCGGTCCCTTCTGCCACAAGGATAAAGCAAGGAATATTTTTGGGGTCTTATACATACATGTATTTGTAATTTTAGATTTGTCTTTAAATAAAAATGGGATTGGGGCTGGGCATTGGTGGGGCACGCCTTTAATCCCAGCGCTCAGGAGGCAGAGGCAGATGAGTTCAAGGCCAGCCTGGTCTACAGCACGAGTTCCAGGACAGCCAGGGCTGTTACACAAGGAAACTCTGTCTTGAAAAACCGAACCAAGCCGGGCGTTGGTGGCGCACGCCTTTAATCCCAGCACTCGGGAGGCAGAGGCAGGCGGATCTCTGTGAGTT